ATGTGACCCAGAGCTATTAATTCACCCAAGTATTAGGTTTCATTGATTTTTATATTTGGGGGCAGCATTTTTAAAGAAAATGCTAAAATAACAACCTGAACTTTTGTCGACAGGGTTACACATCATTTTGGAATGACTGTATATCATCCGGTCTCCGCGGCTGCATGCTAATAGAGCTGGGTCTCAAAGGTCGCATTGAACTTGAAAAGACTGGCATGAGGCGAAGAAGCCTCCTCAACCGCAAAGTCCTGTGCAAGTCGGACACGCCCACGGGTGACGTGCTATTGGACGAGGCCCTGCGACTTATCAAAGAGACCAGCAACACAGAGACGACACAAGGGTGGATCGAGCTACTCAGCGGTGGGTGACAGTGGGAATAATAGTAGACCGAGTTCTGGGACAATTTTGGTGGCATTTGAACAAGTAACTGTGTTGGTGCACATTTGGTTGAGCAGTCTCGTCCTATGTGGGCGATGTGTTGTTGGAGCATTACAATAGCCAGAAACGTGTAAAACTTTTGCGGTCACTAACCTGTTATTTCTTAAGTTGAATGGTAAAGTCCGAATCCACCTGTCTAATTTCTTTGGTCACAGTAGCCATTACAGAATGTTAGTCTGAAGTTACCATAAAGTGATACATGTAAGGTTGTTACCATGGTTGGTCAAACAATATTGCGTTCAGTGGCTAGTTGGTTGATAAACAACAATGGATGTCTCCTCCGTAGCAGAGTGTGGATTGTGTGATGTGTTTCTGGGAAGCAAGACCCAGGAAATCCAAGCTAAACAAACTTGCCGAGAAATTAAGGCAAAAACAGGAACCCGTCAACATTTTAAAAGATCAATTGGGGGAGGGGGGTTGGTGGGTTTTGCAAGAATCACGAGAGAGGTCAAGTCTGGTCACCCTTGCTTTTACAGTAGGCCCAGAGCCTTTGAAAGTTCAAGCAGTACAAAACAAAATGTCATAGGTATCTCACTAAGTGGAAGATATTTGAGGCTTCATATAGGCCATCAAAACTTCTTCCCCTTATAAACCCAGCCCTGAGAATGGTGTAGGACTGATAATCCAATTTACTCTTAAGCCAAAGTGAAAAGCAGGCCACTGCCAACCTAAGGTACGCCAAACAAGAACCTTTTTTCTTTAAATGGTTCTAAGGCATTTTGATTGTTAAACTCCGGTGATCATGCAGTGTGAAACTTAAAGCACCACGTAAACCCATCCGGGGATCTCTCTGGTACATGAGGAGTCATTATCTTCACAATTCTGACGAGAAAGTGAAGCCAGTTTTGCTCTTCTGAATCAATTAAACTTGTGATCAGTTCCAACAAAAATTGATAGTAGTAGCATTACACTTTGGTCTGTAGGCGAGACCTGGAATCCCACCAAACTGCGCTTCCAGCTGCGCAATGTGCGGGAGCGGCTGGCCAAGAACCTGGTGGAGAAGGGCGTGCTGACCACGGAGAAGCAGAACTTCTTGCTCTTTGACATGACCACTCATCCGCTGACCGACACCACGGCCAAGCAGCGGCTGATCAAGAAAGTTCAGGATGGCGTGCTGAGCCGTTGGCCCAACAACCCCCACCGCATCGAGAAGCGACTGCTATCCCTCATCTATCTAGCCCACTCCTCAGACGTGCTGGAGAACGCTTTTGCACCCCTATCGGACGAGGATTACGAGGTGAGATCAAGTAATTGGTGCTGTAAAATTCAAGAGTTTAAACTATGAAAAAAAAAAGAAAAAACCCACTAAAATTTAAGGTAACAAATTGGTTCTTGCGCATTAATTGTAACAGGTCTAAATCCTCCAAGTTTCCACTTAATTGTATGCACACCTCAGGGAGTCGCAGTTAACGTACATAGAGTTCGTTAACACATACATATATAATGTGCATGCACTTGTATGTGGGCACTGAAGCACAGAAGTGGCACATGTGCATTGGCCCAAGTTTACATGCAGAACTTTGTCTCGGATCAGATTAAGTCCAGTTAAATTAAATAAACTTGGGTATGCATTTCTTTTTTGAAATTTGTGTATTCCCAGCGGTTGGTTCCTGTTGTTTTTTTTTTGTGTCTCAGCTGGCCATGAAGCGAGTGCGCGAGCTCCTAGATCTTGACCCGGACGCCCAGATCGGCAAAGCCGGGGTGAACGATGTCATGTGGGCCGTCATCGCCGCGTTCATCAAATGATGAACGTCCTGTAAGCATACCTTCTCCTTAGATGGTCACACAGCGGGACTCGGAATCCTCCTGTCAACTCTGTATAGAAAAATATAAAACTTGGGGAAGAAATGGGGTTAGGGGGCGGCATGGTGGGTGGGATGGGCTTGGGTCGGGGAGGTGAGAGAGCAGGCACGATGCAGGAGTTTGGGTGTTCATTGTAACAACATGGAAAAATCACAAACCAAGTGTTTGTGCGTGTACAAATGTAGTAAGCCGTTGGAATAGTAACTTATGTTCCGTTAATAGCAAGGGGATGAACTGATAACGATCATTTTATTGTTTTTTTTTTTCTTTTTTTGACCTGTTGGCTTTGAATATGGTATGTAATGGTCTAATGGACGATATTTGTATTAAACATGTTTGAAAGAGAAACTTGTAGTTGAAGCATTGTCCGGTTTGCAGTCCAATTCGAGGGACCTCAGAGATTATGTGAGTAAACAGGGGAGTTGACCAAACTATTACGACTTTGAAGTAAGAATGCATAATCTTATTCAAAAATTGCCCCCAATTTAGACACTGTTCCGACTCACCCTTCCCTTTTTGTTTTGTTTTTCATTTTTGAAAATTTATGTTAAGTATTGAAAGTTTCTCAGATGAGTCATACAACAAATTTTTGCATTGCTTCTTAGCTATTTGTACATGTACATAGAATTCCATCCTTGGGCTCTGCCATCGATCAGCCAAGTTTGCCCCTTAGATACAATCAACATGCAGAAATTCTGATCTCTTGTAAAGTTTCCTCTACTGTGCTCAGAGAATTGATCAATGAGCCGTAAACCCTCTGCTAAAGCCATTTCACTCGCCATGATCAGAGAAAATCCATTCTCCTTGCTGCAGCGAGTCGGTCAAATATTACAGACGCATAGAACTCTGCATGCACAGTATGTACGTGTACATGTCCTGGGAAAACAGTTCAGACCATCTGTTGTTTTTTCAGCATCACGTTGGGTTTGTTGAAATGGCTGTGCTGCTGATTCATTTGCATCAGTTGGCAGCTGTTTCCACACTGGTCACTGCGTTGCCTGCAAAATATTTAGATGGGTGCGTTGAACAGACACATGCATGTACAATGTTGTTTCCCATCATTCGTGGTACTGGGAAGTAAACCTGTATGTACATATACATAAATACATTGTCATTGCACATGTACATAAAGGAAATAAGCAGTGAATAAAGCAGTGAATGGTGCCATGCACTGGTTTGCATGCCTGTACTGCTTGGAGGGTACCTGGCTGATTTGCAACTGAATAAGCACAAAAGTGAAGAGTCTTTGTTCCAGGACAGCTGTCAAGAAGTTCTTTAGATTTCTAGCATTACGGGCATTGCTGTGCACTGTCTGCCGTAATATACAAGCAGTACGACAGCGGGTATAAAACTTGTCTTGCATCAGTTAAAGTTGAAAAACAGCAGCCTGGAATTCACGATCCAGTCACTTTCCGCATGTAGCAATCGTAGCGATCCTTCATTTATAATTTACTTAAGTATTTGACTGCCAGGCTTTTTTTTTTCTAATTTAACAAAAAATAGTAGTGTCATAGTGACGGTGTATTCAGTGCTCTGTAAACACAGTGGATACTTACTGAAAAGGAAAACAGAGTAAAAGACATTGCTTTATTAAGGTTCAGCGGTTAGTAATTTTACCCGGTACTTGAAATTGGATGCCAGCTGTAAATTGTTATCCTTTTAGTTACACTTGTATAATATGAACTGTTTTGAGGAGACTTCATTTGCCACTTTCATTTTATGTCAAAAATTAAGTGGAGTTTTTACAAGCACATGTGACCTCATGTACATTTCAGGGGCAGTTGGCACCTGTTCAATTTATACACATTGTTCAAATGGGCAAATACAGAACGTGTGCTTGGCTTCAACCATGCAGTCAAAGGTTACAGAATTGTTCAACACAAAATAGTTAATATCTCTCTTTATTTGTTTGTATATATTGCAATACATAAACTATAAACACCAAGTGTAGTTGAAAATGTATTTTGCAGTAGCTTGTTTCGTGCCTTCTTGTTTTAAATTTCTAATTCTTTTTTTCCCCCATATGTATAATAAATTTAAATAGGGAACTGCGCCTTGATTTTATTCTGTAGCTGGTAAAATGAACACACAGATGAAAGCAGGAGAGAATTTCTTTGAGTTGCGTTCTCCCGGTTACTTTTTTGTTTCCTTTTATTATTGGGAGATATTGAGAATGTCGGAAGTTTTTGAGAGGAAATCTTGTCGGCTGCTTTGCGAGAATTGTAGGGTACTTTTTACTCCATATTTTTTGAGTGGTTATGTAAAAAAGGAAAGGTAGGTAACAGTGTATATAGAGAACATTGTTGCGAGTTGGGACAAAGTGGGGAATTTTTCTAAATTTTCAAGACAACCATATTGCATTAATCATGTCTGTAATGTTCCGTAACTTTAGTCGGGTGGATTGCTAGTCCCTTCATTTTGTTTTGTTTAAAAGACTTGTTGATCAAAAACGTGTACGACAGTGAACTTGATTGAATCCCAAATATTTAATGAGCTTAATTAGCAGGGGAGACACAGACCTTGTGAGTTGGTGATTCCTACATTGGCAGATGGATGTGCTTTTATACATACATTAGTGTTGAAATTTAAGTTCAAGGCTGCTAGGTGTAAACAGAAGGTCTTGTCAATTCATCTGTCTAGAGGCATAAAAAGAAAGCCATATGGAGAGCTTTGTTGGAATGCTAACTGTTAAGTTGGGCAAATAATTCTTGGTGTTATATTAGAAAAAATTTATTTATGTACAGTTGGGGCAAAAAGTTGACATACGCCTGGTAGAGCAAATACAATTTTCCGCAAATTCTACAAAAATATTTCAAACAGCAAAAAATTGAGGAAAACTGTTTTTCTACCAAGTGCATGTAAACTTTTTGCCCCAACCGTGCATGTATATTGTTACCATGGGTGTGCGGACAAAATACCTGAGTGCACGTCCAATTAAGTCAGTCCACCTGCAAGTATTGAATGCACTGGATTAGCAGAAATGGAGAGGGATTACCATTGTTAGTGCTTATATAGTTGACTTTTGTCAATACATATTCCTTATCATTTGACATTGGGCGATGAACACGGTATTCTCCGTACAATGCTGAATGTTTTGTGTAGAAACTGAATGTACAGCAGTGGCTGCCACAGACGAAATCCCATTCAGTTTTGAATTCCTAACACTTTTGAGTTCTGGAGTACCACTTGGAAAGTCAACACGCAGAGATTTGCGTACTCGTAGATCACGGCATACTTTTGGTCGACATACCGAGTGTGAAATGTGGGGTTTTTGGGTGTCTGTGTGTACATGTAAAACAAGTGTTGTCGGCTGAATGTATGTGTACCCTGAAAGTTGACCTTTGGGGTAAGAATCTTGGCTGCAGATTTGTAGATATGGCTGGATTTGGACAGAATATGGCGATTTGGAAAAACAAAATAGATCAAGTGAATGGCCCAGTAAAGTATGTGCCACTGAACTTTCACCTTTGACCCAGCAGATGCATGTTACATGTTTACTTATTGTGATTAATTGCTTTGTTGAGGTTAACATTTATTTTTGGAAAAAGTAACAGATGACCTCAACTTGTGGCTGTGATACAAATGAATATTTATGTCATGAAATGAGTTGCAAGTTAACCTACAGCATGATCATTGCGTGTCTGTTTGGTGTTGAAGGTTCCTGGTGTACACAGAAATTGCAGTGTCAAGCTGGAGAGTTCTTGTTCATTTGTGTTTATAAAAGAAGGCAAGATTCTCCAGGTACCAGACCTATTTACAACACCAGAATATTCCATTGTATATACATTTCCCAAGTATGTATTGGAGTTAAGGTTTTTTCCCCCTGTCCTTTCTCTGTCTATATCATTGGAACTCTTTGTAAATCTAATCCTTTAATGAACGAATAAAGATTTAAGCTATGAGCAAGAGCACTCGTGGTGGTCTAATTGTGTGGTGTTTGAGAGTAGTGGAGCCGTGGTGCGACGTTTGAGGATATGTTAGAGTGGTGATGTTTTTAAGGTTGGTTTAGACAGGTTAAGGTGCAAGAACGAACTGGAGTGTTGTTAGGGTGGCAAGGCAAGATGAAAAATCAAAAGGAAACAAGCACTAAATTAATTCCAAACTTCAAAAAAGTGACATATTTTGGATAACCGAGAAAACAAATGTTTCAGTATTTAATATTGAAAAAATAGCTACGAATACATACATATATCTCTTTACCTACAAAAGTTTACTAGCCCACAACAGCATAATATAGTTATATTTTATACTCTGGAACAAACATGGAAGACGCGATGCCAAGGTCTTGGATTTCCACACACCTAACAACTGAAGTGCTCCAGCTTCAATGAAAACTACAAATGCAATTGAACTGTGATATTTTACAAGGCATTTGTAGCATACAAGGCAATTCAGGGTTATTTCAGCCTAGAAAAAGGTGGGATGACGGGTGAAAAAAGCTGTTCCACCACCCGAGAATTTCCTACAAGACAAACATCCACAAGACATACTGAACTTTATACCTATGAAAAGCTCTCTTCCTGAATACCGCAATTCTTGAGGTGCTTGACTTGGTCTACAAAGACTTATGAATAATGTTAAAACAATTTCAAATAATGTCAGTAAAAACTGTTAGTTTCCAAGGTTTCATCCCATGAGATAAATGAGAGTGTGCCCCACTATTCTTGTTAAGTTCCTCCAAAAATAAGACTTACTTTTTCTTTGATCTGCACCAACAAATCTGGAGATTTCCTGCAGCAAATACCCAAACTCTCCAAGCTTTTAAAAGTGTTACATAAGGCCCTATTTGTTTAGTAACTAAAATATCTGATATTTTTAACTGTTTCCCAATGTAACGGTTTCAACTACTTGGCAGGGCTTTTTGCTTCGGGAACATGGAGCTTGTATTGCACATTTGGGCTTTTTACATAAAAATAACTTTATTTACATAATATACAACAAATATATGAAAAACATGTTTTGAATTCAGAAACTGGAAATAAACTAAAAGATTTATACACAGGAAAGTGACTCCAGTAAAAGATAAAACCTTCTGTTAATCAAACAAACAACAGAAAATACACAGGAATAAAAGTGGATCTCTGATGAATGATGGGAATTATGAAATGCTTCTTGCATTTGTCATAAATACAAATGCAGGTGAAATCCACAAACTTAAGCCCAAATTGTGATTTATATGTATCTCAAGTCTTCGTGTTTGACTCCTCTTCCAACATGCATACCAAGGCCACTTTCATAAAGCAAAATAAATTTCCTTCAAAGTACCCAAAAATGGATTTTTTTTAGTGGGTCAGTAAATCACTTTCAATGATGGTTTTTATTTCCATAATAAAAATACACTGAACATTGGAATACACTGCATATATACATGTAAATTTATTTTTAAAAATTTAAATCAAACAGAAATAAAGGCAGCATTTATTGCTTGATTTTTGTCACCAAAGACAGAACTCAAAATGACAGAATTACATCCAAAGCTTTATTTTTCAATATTAAGCAACAAGAATTTTCCAGTCATTGAACAAGAGGTGGGCTTACACCAACAGTCCATCGTGAAGAATTTGGAATATTACACAAAAGCTTAACAAGCAAGCAATTCACTGTACATTTCCCTGGCACAATGCCAAATTTCAGCACCAGCATCTCCAAGCATTAGCTACAGAGGGGGCTATATCCTTGTTGCCGGTGAAGTGGCTTAATGCTATCACAAGGCCAATGTCTACATCGGAAGTGGGTAAATTTCAAAAGTTTGGCATGTCTGGCCTGCAGTGTTTGGCAGGGGAATATGTAAATAAGGACAAACTCTCCCCCCCCCTCAGTTGCAAACAACTGAAACACATCAGTGCAGCGATTTCCATTCTGTCCAGACAATGAGTCACACGCAGGAACCACTCGGAATACAGCTCTCAACATATTCGACAACTTTGTCACGGAACAGAACAAATTTGGCATCAAGTACCATCCACCACGAGTCCCACAATTATGCTGGGCGTCACAGTGAAGCGTTACTTTCCAGAGGCAGAAGGGAAGGATGTGAATACAAACACCTTTCTGGGGAAGAGGGGGGGGGGGCGTGCAACCCTGCTAAAGTTTCTGTAAAAAAAGTGCTGGAAAATTTCCAGGAACAGGTTTTTCCAATGAGCGAGGAGTATTCAGAATGGATACAGTTTGATTCTTTAACCATCACTGTATCCGCACTTCGGTGTATGGAAATAGGACTGTCTTCCCCATCCATGTCAAGATGAGACTCGTATCGGTTTCGGTTTTTGTACGCAGTATCTTGGCTGCAGGAATTGAGTCATGAATTCAATGCCCTGAGTCTTGAGCTGAGAAACGCCGGCTCAGTGCAACTCCAATCTCTTTTCTTTTCTGTACAGAAACGTCAACCTGTCTACTACAATGACATGGTTAGGAACACTTTCATTTGGCTTTTCTTAAAGGTAGATGTAGAGAATCTATAGTGGAGCTTGAGGAGATGGCACTGAAGATGAAAGCAGAGCAAGATTTGGAATAGGGTTTACAGATGTCACTTGTTTTGTATCAGCTACTCCACTTTCTCGGCAGGCCTGATCTTCATTTTCACGATCCCAACCGGCAGGGACTTCAGGAAGGTCCAGGCGTCAAAGTGGGTCATAGCGGCCAGCTTGCGGCCATTGACCTCCAGGATCTCGTCGCCTACGTGCAGTTGGCCGCCGCGGTATGCCACGCCGCCCGTGAAGATCTTCTTGACAGTGATGGGCAGGTCGCCCTTCGGGGAGCTCTTGCCACCTTCCACGCTGAAGCCAAGCCCTGCAGGACCCTTGGCCATCTCAATGTCGGTCACCTCTGAGCCTACAGTTTCCTCCTCTGTTGGATGAGACAAAGGACGCATAACTGAAGGGGTTGTCCTCAAGAGTTATAAAAACTATGTGATTGTGTGTTACAGTGCTATGGTGCGGACAGTCAGTACTTCAAGGGAAGAATACAGAATTAGACAGGAAATAACTAAAGCTTTCGCTTAAGGTTTTGTCAAAAGTTATTGTGGTTTTGTGAGGTACACTGAGATAAAACCTAGAGTTACCCTTGACTTAATTTTGCATTCTTCCCTAACATATGAGGATCTTGTGTTTGTGACAGTGCTGTGAGGTGTGGGTAATTTCTGTGACTGTTGAAATGCAGTGGAAAATTTTGAAGAATCTGTCTTCCACAAAAGTGTACCAAGTTGTCCTGATTTTATCCCGGCTTTCTGAAGTTACAGTCTATGTCTGTACGTGTTTTTCAATATCTCAAAACACAGCAGAGAATGAGAGCAAATGATAATTAAAAAAAACAATCAAGATATCATTTCAGGCCACGCTACCCTCTTCCAGAGCCTGGTTCCGTGCCACTACCAGCACCACGTCCTGTCGTTTGCTCTTCAGTATCTCCAGTAGCTCGGAGTGGGTGGCGTCCTTCAGGACGCGACCATTGACGGACAGCACGCGGTCCCCACGCTGGATACGCCCTGAACGATCAGCCAGCCCATTGGGTATCACCCGATGCACCTGCAGATTAGGGTCAAACACAACTGATTTGGTACTGCTGAACAATTCCTATGGGAGCCGATTGTTGATAGAAAGTTGCACCATGGAGGTAAATACATACTATTACTGTGCCTAATGCATATTCATGATGGACAAATGAATTCTGGCTCATTTACCACCACTTTTTTTCTTAAAAATTTCTCTGGCTTCGCTTCTGCCTGTTTTGTGTCTACACATACCTTCCCCGATTCTTACAGGAGGCAAAATCAATATGGTTGCTGAGTACAGAAGTTTGCTAAATACATTAAATCTTATGCCTGCTAGAATCAGGATACCGGTCAAAATGCCCTCAAGAGCATATTGCTTGTGGCTGGTTCGCAGCTCTTTTTTGGCTCATCTAATAACGTTTCGAGGCGAGATCTCTGAAAAAGGGACCAAAGTCAAATAAATGTGGGTGGGGGTTTGAACAGCGTACCATGATCTCTTTCTTCTCCTGGTCGATGCCGCCAGACACAGTCAGCCCCAGTCCTTGGGTCTCGTGCTCCTTGTGCAAGATGACCACCGACACGTCACTGTCTACCATGTCGTCCAGGGACTCGTTGGCATCTTCGATCAGCCTCTCCAGCTCGCTGGTGGACAGGAGGACAGTGGAGTTAGAGCTCTCTGACCAGGAACGCTCCAGGATACCTCGAGGATCCCGTTCTGAGGAAAACATAGGATAGGTCAAATAGAAGACAAACATTTACAAGCAGAAGAGTTGTTGACAAGTCTTTTATTTTTAGCTTACCAAGCATAGACTTCTTGGGACACCAGAATTAGAAGCCATTACTGCCGTGGAAACATGCTCACGCGCAGATGGTGTGCGAATGCTAAATACATCCCCCACCAATACAGTAATGCAACTTCATAGAATGTCCATGGCAGGAACTACAAGTAGCCAGAAATTTTTGTGGCTGTGTATTTGGAGTTTAATTGGATCATGTGTACAGCTGAGGTTCTACTTTGTGGAGCAAAGACCAGGTTCCAATCTTTCAGTTTTGGATTCCTCTTTTACACCTTTGCCCTTGTAACTCACCAGCAGAGAAATTTCTCTTGGCTCTTGCACTGATATGCTTCCTCATGACAACATTTGTGGAGTCCGGTTCATCTCCGTCCGTGCTCAGTTTAGGGAACACTGCTTTGCCTGGGCTGAGGCTTCCATCTGAGTATGGGCTGTAAGGGGGCCCTGGGCTGACTGGTGTCGAGGTCTTGCTTCCGGAAAAGACATCGGGCTCATCGCTGTATAGTTTCCCACGACCTTGGCTGAGCTTGACAGATTCCAGATCATCGTCAGAGTGGGCACCCTCCATGGTTACGGCCTGAGCAAGTTCTGTGGCCAAGTCAGCGATGTCCTCATCTGAGTTGTCTGAAGCAAACGAGGTCTCTTCGGGTTTCTTCCGAGCAACAACGAGTGTGACACTAGAGGGGGCTGTCTCCAGGAGGTTCATCGCCTGCCCATGGGTGATGCCCACCATGCAGTTGCCGTTGACATCCAGCAGCTGGTCCCCTGCTCGCAGCCGGCTGCTGCGGTGGCTGGCTGAGCCTGGTGCGATGGCCTGGATGTAGACACAGCTCTTGGGTGTGTCCGACCCACCCTCGATGCTGAGGCCCAGTTTTTCACCAGGATTCCTCACAATCTGGAGGGTAAACAAAAAAGGAACAACAACAAAAACTTGATTTCCAAAATTCGGAAAGTAAAGAAAAGTGCCTGTAGCTTTCGTTATGTTGTTGAATTCACTGTGCATACACCCACTTGGGTATGTATGGGGACTTCGGTTCAATCACGATGAGTAGAAATGAACAATGTTCACTCAAGTTCATTAGCAATCTTTTCAAGAGGGTGATGGGTGACACATCATTCAATCATTGTTGATCGACACAGCTCATTATCAGGCCTTATTATTACATGCTGAAAACCAACAAATCTTGGTCAGTAAGTTGATATCATGTGAATATATTGTGCACAGCACATCACGGCAGAAAGTATGAGCAAAGCAAAGAACGATATATCAGCCTATGCTTCATGTATGCTGCCCATGAACAGTACTCAGCCGGTGTCGGTTACACATTCACATTTGCTAGGGGATATACTTCCTGTAGAGTAGATTTTCTGCCGAATATTTTCAGCAGACTGTAAATGTTATTCGATCCCCTCCAATGTTCGGCTTAACAATGCCGTACGTTTACAGTAAAAATACTGAGGCACATTTCGGCAAATAGGTGCTCTCTTTTTCTCCCCTCGTCGGCATGAGGCAAGCTTGTTCAATTCATGTTTTTTTGGGGGGGGTGTGTGCGTCAAATCCAAACTTCTCTCGCAAGATGCCGCGCCTCAATCAGCAAAAAGTTAGGTATAAGAGGTGCACTCGTACTAAGTGGAAAGAAATGAGTACATTCTGGAAAGGCTGTTGTTCACTTGGTAATTACGGCGAGGTCACCCTTAAAGTGGTATCCACTCCAAAAACCATCAAGTTAGACTTTGATCTTCATTTTCGACCTGCTGTTTTCTCTGCTAAGCAGTTGCCATTTTAGTTTCCCAAACTGGCCTTTTGTTGTACTTATCCTTTTAGTGTCAACAGAAATCACCTTTTGATATTCTAATGACGCTGTGCTTGGTAAATGTTCAACTTGGCCTCTTGGCCCAAAGGAGGAAAAAATTTAGTATACGGTGCCTTTGGTTCACATTGTAACAAATCCATTAATCGCTGCTTTCAGTCAGGGTCACACATTCACAGAGTCCGTACTCATACATGGAATGAACATGATGAAATACTCAAGATAACACTCTGCACGATGGTTCTCTGTTCTACTAAACAAATCCAGAGGCTGAGTTCCTTTATCTGTGCCATTAGAAAATACTGGGCTCAAATTAAAAGTCAGTTCAAGTGAAATCTCTAAACTGTGACCCAATCCAACAAATGGAGTCCCAAGCATTAATTTCCAAAGCAATGGAGCATCACAGGTCTTGAACAAATCCAGCACTTCAGTTTTTAGCCAAAGTGATGTCCTATTTAATCAAGATGACCAAATGAGCAATGCAATAAAAAGAATGTCTTCATAATTCAACCAACATCCTCCTCAAAAAAGGTTCTGAAGGCTCATTTTGAGAGATTTCTGGCCACAACTTGAGTGTGACATCACCCCCCAAAAACACAGCAACTGGTGGTAGCATAGAATTTTCAGTTTCTTTGAAATTGCTTCTCAGGCGAAACGCATACAGTCACTCACAATGTCAGCGTTAGCCACAAGGGCAAAATTATTTTCGCTCTGACATGTGATCACTATTTTGACATTCAAAATCATATTAGTGCTGGTAACACATTTCCATAGATACAACCCTATCAAAAGTAAAACCCTGTGCAGACGATCAACCAGTAACAAGACCAAACATGTGGCTCCAATTCCTTTTCAGATATTCAGTCAAAATCCTACTAAATCTAGTCAAACAAGCCCATTGCTCTGAAAGCCAAATCACAATTTTGTTTTTTTTAATTGCATTCTCGAGTATGGCCACGTGCACTTCATTATGAGCAAAGATAGATGCTCCAGATTATTAAAATAACCAATGGCATTGGAATGCCCCCCGGGAGAGGCACTCCAGTAATTAAACAGGGATAAGGGAAACTGCTGGCGCTCAAATTAAAATCACAGACGAAGAATGATGAGGACAGATATGCAGCTTGGCATATGTGCAGGAACTCACGGAATTTTCTACACAGGGGCATTGCTTCTTTTCCAATTGCTGGCTGCAGAACAGCAGGTCAGTTGAGAGAGCACAAGATTCACACAGAAATGATGCATGACTTTCTATAGTTTTGTTTTGCAAAGATGTCAAGATTATTGTAAAAGAAATTTGAAATGGTATTCAAACAGCATGAATTGCGGAGACTTATCCAGGTACATGCACAACCTGTATTTCAAACAGGGCACCTCCTTCAATCACTCCTCTGGTGTTAACCTTGCAGAAAAATGCACAGAGCCTTTAACTAACTTGTAACTTTAATATACTGTACACTCCTTTGAAAGATGCGCAACAGGGATGCATGTACACTTAAAATTCTGATTTAAAACCCTTTTCACTCGAAGCAGTGCAGCTTTAAAATCTGGATCTACATTCTCTTTCTTCTTCTTGTCTCTCCCTCTGAATGCACACAACAGACATGTGCTGTTACATAACAAGTAACAGATTAAACGGCTGAGCTGCTTTCAAAGAAACATATTCCGGTTTAATCTACTCGGTGCTTTTAGTCAGTACTGGCCAGTATCAGTGTGCATTGTGTCCCATCGATTTGTGAGACTGGTGACAGAGATTTGAGAAGCTATCAAAGCAGGCCAGGGTGCTTAGACATGTAAGAGCAGATCTCCATTGAAGGTGCATGGTACTCTGCTAACAATTTGGTTTTCTGTCAGTGGGCAAATTCAGGGTGTATATATTTTTCCATGAGAGTAGGATTTTAAAGAAATTGTTCATCAAATTTATTGGTAGGAACTGCAATATCTAAATGGATTTCCAAAAAAACTCACGAGGAAATCAATGGCCAGATGGATCTCAGTCCCTGTTGAGTTGAAACTATGCAGTCTATGATATTACCAGCTGTGGAAATGTCAGTGTTTTTGTCAATGCAACCAACTGTGAGTCACTTCCATAAAATTTGCTTCCAAAATTGGTTTTGGGCCTACCGTCCATAAAACGCATATTGTACGCAGGGAAATGAAAGTCCAGGATGTGAGTCTCCTCATGTAAGAAAATAACACTCTCAGCTTTGTCCACTTGTACTTTGTAACTTCAGTGACCACCGGCATGACAAACATCACTCATCTTTGGCAGAAAATTGCACCAATGACAACGTGAATATTTCTAGCATGATCACAATGCAATTCAAATAACGATGTCTCTAAAACTGAAAGTATATGATCCAATTCAGCAGAAACTGCATCAGAAGTTGCCACAGGGCCTTGTTGAGAATTAACAAACCTTTTGAAATCGTTCACAGTGGAAATTAGTAAGAGCTACCAATGCTTGCAAAGCGTCAGTATATATATCCAGATACAGGATGTCAAACTCTATAATGCGGCAAAATGAAAAACAGAGCATATACTTGCAATGTTCAGAACAACAAAACAGAAAAATTCTCACTGACTCATAAGGAACATGGCCGACGATGACTGACGAACACATTAAAATTAGAGATGGGACTAGATTACTTTGGCAGCCTTCGAATACTGAGCTGCAGCTGGTTGACTTACCGACTTCAGACATGAGAAAATCCTCTCAGGAAGGGAAGAAGACAAATACACCACCCTCCTTGCTCTTCTAGAGCTTACATGTACTGGTACATTGATTCAGGGAAATCTTATCTGTGTCATCAAGCCAAGCTCTCAGGACCCCTCCTGTTTCCTCAAGATGATTCTTTCTTAAGATAACTATTAGCTCCAGGAAGCTGTGTACACATGAGATGCCAGGCACCGACCGCAACACAACAGTGTCAAACGCACCAAATACATATCCTCCACTTGTGTTCAAAATGCACCAGAGTTGCTAAATGCAGAGCAACGCTGAACTCTGCGACCTTTTATTTCTCTCCAGAGGAGGGTGTTGAACGAGCTTTGCCAAAGTTCCCTCCCTCAGTGTCAGAGTCCAGAGGCGATCAATAGGGCCATAGAGCTTTGTTTGTTCTTAACTCTCTTGCAGCACCATGGTCCCAGGCTGACACACACACACATATACACACCCAGTACCTATGCTGGCTGACAACTGCTCTCCAAATGACTGACCGACTAACCCAGCCAGCTTGAGAGAGAGCGATTGACAAGGCTCAGCAGTTTAATGAGGCTGGCCAGCTGGAAACTAAATGATGTTACCTCAAGCGTGAAGCTGTGGTCCTCAGGGACTTTTGAGAGAGACAGATGACCTATATGTGGTTACCAATTTCTATTTAAAGCCCTTCATTTTTTGAGGAGAACATGAGAGAAGATACGTGTTGACCTTCTGACTTCTTTAGTTGTATACACATGATGGCTGCATATCTAAGATGCTGTTACTGAATAAAAAAACACAGCTTTGTTTTTATGTTGTTACTAATTTTTTGGAGGTGCAGATGTCATATTTTCTCTTTATCCTTTGATACTGATATTTGTAGGCATTGTGAGGGGAGGTGAGTAGGGGCATGTGCACCCTCCGGAAAAAAACATTCGAAAAATACAAAGGCCAAAAATGGGTTACACCAACCAAAAAAGATGAAAAAGGAAGAAAATCACTAATTTGTAGAATTTTTTAATCACTGCCCCTCCCCGGAAATTTCCCCCCCCCCGTGAACAAAATCCTGCAGATGTCCACGCTGATGTTGAAATTTGAATTTTTATACAAAATTCATGAATATTAGTCCAATATTTCTGTTGGCAGAATGTGCTTGTGACTAGTGACCTCGTTAATTGCCTGAGGAAAGAAAAATGACAAAACTCCTCAGCTGAGTTTAACAAACAATATTTCTGCTCTGTGTCTAGTTTGTCCTGAATGCTTCCTGTTATTTACTCAAACAACATAATAGCATATGAAGATTAAATGTAGCACAATGTGACAGAAAATGTGACTAATTTTAGAAATAATTAAATTCAAGGCCAACTTTTGTGCACAGATTAAAAACCAATATCTTAATATAATTGTAACCTGATTCAGATGTTTTTGAGATTCCAGGTATTGTTATGACAGGAAAAAAACAATTTATCAGTCTACTTGAAGTGCAGATTGCTGAATTTAATTAACACAAGGTCCAATCACAGTCAGGCCGCGTCTGAAGTCAGGCCGATGGATAATCTAACCATCACGGTGTCTGGCTACAGCATCAACCATTACGTTGCCCAAGTCTCTATCTGAGAGGCTGTGACAGATATCCCTAGCGGGCTTGTGCAGTTTTGCTGACTTCAACCTTGCAGTACCTCCGCTGGATTTAGTTTTCCACCGCGATCAATTATTCCAGTCATATCTGGGAGTGAAATTGGGCATATGGAAAACTCCCTCAGGGGTCTGGCTGTATCAGGTTAAAAATTATGATGCTCAACGGGAAGCCAGGATGAGATGCCAAGAAAGTTATCTGTCTATCGGTGAATTTTAAGGCTGAACAAAGGCAGTCCACTAGTTACCCATGCAACAACTCTGCCTGCGGACGCTGATGAACAACAAATAAGAATAATTCCATAAAGAGGAACATATGAGACAAAATATCCTGCCGCCATTTTTCTCCTGAATTTGAGTCTTTCCTCGTCACACACAGGGGCATACATGTTGTTAGGGAGATAAAGAGAGATGCCAGTAACACACACTGTGATGACCAATCCCCTCCTAAAAAAAGAAATAACCTCAAATATTTCCATGCATGAAGAATTTGATAAAGTCAATATAAACCAAACTTAAAACAATCTTTGTTAATCTGCAATACTCAGAAACAAGTTGATGTGAATTAATTCAAACCTTCTCAAGCAGTTGTTTGAAATAAAAATTAAACTTTGTGTCTACATGTACTGCATAGTACAACACATCTCGTTGTAAAACTCACTCCTTCGATTTTTCTGTCATCCACAATCCATTTATTTTGAAATAATATTCTATTTTTGTAGTTTGTGGTATTTCTGGAATAATCCTTCACACCTGACCCCCAGAGCAGCCAAAAAGATGCAAATATACCAAGCTCATTTTAACAGACTTAAACTTTACAGAAGTTTACAGAATGCTACCTTGTTAAAAAAAAAAAAACAGTCTGGGTGTCAAATATTTTTTGTTGATATTCTATTTAACATAAATGGCTAATCACATATTGATAGAATCAGACAATAGACATATTCAGAACAACTTGGACAAGAAGTCATTGTACAAAAGGGGGACTCCATGTATTCCTGTTGTCAAGCCAATTAAATCTTCATCAACCCAGACGGGCGTAATGCCTTGCCCAGCTGTTGAAGGTTTCAATAAGGCATGGGCTGTAATAAACCATAACATCCCACGCATGACCTACAGAGAATGGAATTCAATAGACAGATATGGTTGGGGGGAGGGGACTTTTTACAAACATTTTTCATTTCCAGGTTTGCATGTGTATTGTAGAACTGCATCTACCACGGTACTGGAATTTTATAACACATAGGCAATTCCATTTCAAGCAAAAAGGGTCTACTTTATCCAACTCCATCCTGCCATCCTACCGGGAAATTAGTAATTTCCTTCACCTGATGAACTATTTAAAAAAGCGACGATCAACATCTGTACCTGCTCATCTTTATAGACATAAAAATGTATTTGATAAGGTGTGCAAAACATCATGTGAACAGTACATCCTGTGAAAGGTTGTATTTAAAGGTAGTTTTTAAAATTTCTTTTTGAAAGATGGGAGAGCAATTGTTGAGAAAATCATTACTTTACAGCAATTTAAGCTTCATAACCTGAATATAATAGTTTATGGTACAGTACAAACGTAAGCATAGTCTATGAAACATGCATAAATGAATACTTGTTTAATAGAATGACAACAGTTTTGCATATTATCCCAAATCACAAACTTTAAGTCAAATCACCCACAGGTGATCCGAATCTGGACAAAACATGTATAGAAAAAATTAAGAAAGTCACTGCATTGTATGTGCGCAAACAAATTTGAGTTTCCAACGCAAAACCATTTTTGGTTTCTGAAAAAAACCACCACAGCCCCATCTCCTTCTCGACCCAGTTTGGTGAAGTCTTTTGACATTCTTTTAAGACCTAGACCTCAAAGTGCATGAAGACAATCTCTCCTAGAATGTTGCACAAGATACATGGCATGCACTGTATGTATAATTTGGTTGTCAAAATTCCATCACAGAATGTCAATTTCAAAGTTGCATGTCTCTGAAAATCAAAACATTTGCCGGATACATAAATTACTCACAATGGTGTGCGCAAATCTGGCATGAAGTTGCAGCTTAAAAGATTTGCAGTGAAAGCAGTGAAAAAGGACACCCTTGAAAATTAGTCTCAGTAAGTATGAGCTTTGGTTTCTCATGTTCATTGTTATTATGACCATTTGGTGACAGTTGATTTGCACAACACTGAAGTCTCTCCGCCTATTAATTAAAAAGTCCTGTTGACATTTACACAAAATTTATTTTGTTTTTCTCTAAATTTTTTAAATGGATGTCAGAAAAATTTGTTCTTACCTTTATCTCTAATACACCCTCATCTGGGTCATCCTGGCTGTCGATGCTTTCATCCAACTTGGGTGAGTTGCCAACGGAGGGTGGAGGTGGGATTGATGGAAGAGCAGGGGCTGGATCATCTGCCTCCTTGTCCAATTTCTTTTGAGCAGAGCTTGGAGTGGAGGACCGTGGTGGGGAAGATTCCGGTAGGGGGGGTGGGTCAGTTGACAGAAGAGCAGGAGCTCCCTTGGACTGATTTTGAACTAGCACTGGACTTGTTAAAGCCGATGACACACTCAGCATTCCTTGTTTCAATGTTGACTTGCTTGCTGAATCAAATTCTGCCATCTTGGGCCGAGGCTGGGGTTTAGGACTGATGCTTGGAGGCTTCTGACTCGGAAGAGGCTTCAGTGTTGAATTGGAGCCGACTTTATTCCCCAGCTGATTTAACCCAGACTCGTCAGCTTTTGGCTCTGACCCAGACACTTCCTTGTCCCACGGGAACTTTTTGATGGTTAACTTGGCACCTGCCGGCCCCGCCGTTCCTTGGCTGCCAGCTTTGGTTGACAAGAGAATGGGCATTGACTTGGGGCTGATGGGGGATGAACCGATTTTTGGCAGGCCTCCCTGAGTTGAGCTGGTTGCTGTCGAAGACCCCGACAGCTTCTTTGGGACAGAAAGACCCTTTAGCTTGGATGCTGCGACCGGCTTTGGGCCCACAGTGTCCAAAATGGATGGCTTCTTGGGAGACTGGCTGGCTCTTAAAGGTGGAACCACCAGGTTTTTACTCAACTCAGAGGGTTGCAGAGAAATGGGCTTGGAGAGGTAGGAAGCGGGTGAGGATTTCTCCATCTTGGGGACACTTTCTTCTTTGTCGGCAGAGTTTTCAGAGGGTAATGGTTCCTCTATAGGAGATGAGACATCCTCTCTATCAAAGTCAAAATCAGGGCTGGCAGCTGACAGCTTAATCTTTGCAGCTTTTGTGGAAGATTCATCACCCTCCAATGCCAGTTCATCTTGATTTTCCTGTTTTGTGAGACCAAAATCACCAGCTGAAAGTTTGACCTTCGAAGACCTGGGCTTTGCAACCGGGAGATTTTCCCTGATGGTGGAAGTCGATGCTTCTGTAGAAGGATCTGTTTCAGCAGGGGACAGAACTAGAGAAGGCCTAGCTTCTGTTTCCTGAATCTGATTTGGTGTGATCACCTCTTCAGAGGCATTTGATGGGTTTCCTGATCTTTTTGGAGTTGAGCTCCTGAGATTGGACATAACTCCTGGTGACAGATGAGCAGACGATGGCAAAAGAGCACTGCTCATCAGGACTGGTGAGGGTGGGTTTAGCAGGCCTCTGTCACCAAAACTTTCTGAGGTTGACTCCTCTGATTGGAGATCACTGCTCAGGTCATCTAACTCCTGGTCTGTTGGAGGTGGACTATTAGGGAGGGGAGGAGGACTTCCTGGAAGCGGTGGCGGATCATCAGTACCATCCTCGCTGTCACTGCCTGCCTTAACTTTGTGAGTGACATGCCCACCACCACTGTTGGCACTGTCCTGTGATGGTTCTGAATCCTGTTCCATTGACGCCAATGACATACATGTGGAGCCTGTCTTTTGTTCGGGGACTGATGGGTCTTTCACATCTTTGCTGTCAATCTCAAACAGGGCAACAGGAGACTTGGGGGATCCTGCTGGAGTCCGGCGATGGACCACCGGGCCAAAAATGGAGGCTCTTTCCTTAACGCTTGTTGGCGTTGTTTCATTCTGGTCCTCCTTCTGTGCGTTAAGAAGATTTACGGAGGTGAAAGACTTGTCGGGAGGAGAAACCAATGTCTCAGGAGATGAAGCCAGCTCCTTCCCAACCTCTATTGGCTTGGCAGTTTCTACAGCATGGGTACTCTGAACAACTTCAGTGACTGTTGGAGTTGGTGTTTTTTCCAAAAGTGTGTCACTCCCAGTTTTATCAGTTACTGTTGGAGAAGATGAAGGAGAGTTCCCTGCACTGGGGCACTTTGAGATTTGCTCGGGAGATTCATGACCATCTGGTGGCAGCCTCGGAGATGTAGGAGCCACCGAGTCACTACCTGACGAATCTGACTTGTCCAACTTGTGGATGGGGTGGGAAGTGGGGCTTTCCAGCTTCTCATCAAGTTGGGCCTCTTTGGAAGAGTTGTTTGCCTTGGATCTTTCTGCCCTGGTAATGACTTCAGGAGTCAGAGAGGATTTTTGTTTTGCACTCACCTGGTCTGATTTTAGGGGGGCCTTGGAGTCCGAGTTGCACGTTTTATGTCGATTCAAGCAAACGTGACTGGGAAGGATCTCCTCATCACTGGAATCTTGGTCAAAATTGAATGCTGCAAGGTTAGCCCTAATGACCTTCCTGCCCTGTATGGCACTGTCATCCAGGGAATGCCCCCTCTGGAACAATCGCAGCTGAGCTGTGTCATTGGAATTGCTGTTGGTGGTATTCAGATTTGAAAAGGTCTCAGGGAATGGTGTCAGAGGGGTGTCGGAGGGTAGAGGGGAAACGGGTTGAAAGTCTTCCTCGGAAACATGGTCAGAAGTGTCACTTAAGTTCAAAGAGGATGATGACTCACTGGCGGCTCGTTCTCTTTGCAGTCCAGCAACAATTGGCTGGTACTCCTTGTCTGGGGAAGAACAAGAGCTCAGGGAATCATCTCCGAATCCCGTCGGTGGCCTCATCAGAAGAGACGGTGCCCTCCCTGGGGAGCCAGGACTGGGCACATTCAGGAGAGCCTCGGTCGATGCATCCTCAGGATGTTCCATGATAATCTCCATGCTGTTGTCCAATGGGAAGTCTTCTGGAGTATCTGTGACAGAAGCAAAAATATCTTCGACTGCAGAGCTCAACTCCCTGCAGCTATCCTGGGAGTCGTTAGCTGGTTTGGATTCAGCCTCGGCCAATCCTGATCCATCAATTGTCAGCTTGTCATCTTGTGGACTGGACAAGGCGTGGGTGGGGTTCTTTTCAGGCTTGAGTGAGGTTGCCACAAGAGGGATTGGTGTCTTCAAGGACAGAGTGAGTGGGTGGAGTTGGGATGCAGACTCTCTGTTCCTTGTAGCAGGAAGTGTTAACAAGGTCTTCGGTTTGGCAAGAAGAGGCAAGCCCTGACTACCTTTGTTGGCCAGGGGCTCTGTGGATGCCTTTTTGGGCAGGAACATGGATCTCATCAGATTGGACTGAACTTGGCTGTTCTTGCCCTGGTGCCCATCTGTGCTGTCTTCTTCCTCTTTGTGAGGTGAGATGGGAGTGAGATCTTGAGATGATTCTGAGGTGAATTCCTTTGGAGGACTGGTGGATGGCAATGGAGGAGGGATAGCATCCTCATCATTGCTTTTCTCAGTATCCACCTCTGGCCTGCTGTCATCTTCATCATCACTGTCATGGACATTGTGGCCAATAACAGAATCCTGCATTAGAGGACGAGGGGAGAAGACAGGTGTGTCATTCCTGGTCAGAATCTCTTCCTCCAAAATATCTGAAGGTAGTTGGTTTCCCAGACCATGATGTCCAACGTCAACTTCATCTTCACCACCAAACGTTGGTAAGTTGGGTGTTTCTGGCAGAATGCTCAACTTTCCAACACCTGCCATGGCCTCCTCATTCTTATCCATCTCCATTACATTTTCTTCTTCAGACAAGATCAGATCATCAATGTCTGTGACGGGAGGGTCACTGGTATCCATAGCTTCCTGCTCCTCAAATCTCCCAGTGTGACCAATGAGATTATCACTGTCAACTGGTTGATGGCTTAATGGAAATTCTTCAGTCTGTTTCATCATGACTTTAATTTGATCACAGGGAATTTTCTGGTCTGCCTCCTGCTGAGAGTCTGTGGGTAGTTTAGGCAGCGGCATGGAGTACCTATGCCTTGTGACCAATGTTTCATCTTCTTCATCATCTGTCATTTCTGTGTCAAGCATCAACAGATCACCTATGTCCTCATCCTCTTCATCTTCTTCATCTGTGTCAGAGGAATCCTCATCAGGATACATAGAGTGGTTCTCATTGGCTAAGCATATTTTCTTTGATACAGCTTTGGGAGATCCTGGAACCCAATCTGCCATTGCAACTTCTGCCTCATCCTTGGCCAATCCGTCTGGAATCCCACCCCTGTGGTTATCTAGCTGCTCTGCCACACTGTCCACTATGGCATCATTTGCGTTCTCTGTGGGTTCCTTCGTGATGGAGTTGCTTGTGCAGGACTCTATGGTGTTCCACAATTCCTGCGTTCTGTATTCCAGCGTTATGCCATTCCGCTTCTCAGCATCTGTGGTGTTCATAAGCCTAGATGCATTCACAAGTATGGCACTAGGTTCGCTTTGCTCAATGAGTTCCCAATATTTGTTCTCACTCTGAGCGACTCCCTTTGGTTGCGAGTTATCATTCAGGTTTCCCATGGTGTCTGTAAGGGTTGGACTGTGATTTTCCAAAGGAGGGTCTGGAGTCTCTCTTGCGACAACAACTTGGACGTTCACTGGCAGCTCTGAGAGAAGTTTCACCGTTTCGGCATAAGTCATGAACTGCAGAATGCTTTCCCCTAAGGCAAGAATAGTGTCTCTGACGCATACACCCCGCTTGCCGCCAGTTGCCCGCTCTGAGGCTCCCCCTGGTGTGATGTTCTTCACAGACACCCCCTGGATGACACTGTTCTGCCCCTTAGTGTGCTGGATATTCAGACCCATGCCGAGTTTTTCTCCAGGGCTACGGCATATCTGCAGAATGTCAATCTGCTTTCCTGGGGCAAGTTCCCGGAAGGCATCCTTGGCCTGCTCCCTATTCTCTTTCTCCTCCTCATGGATGTCATGTTTGTCTCGGCCAAAGTTGTTGCTGTTCTGGCAGGAGTGCAGGTAGGCTTCATACTCATTGGCGAGATCTGATCCGACACGACCTTTCCGCCAGGCATTGTCAGGTCGCCGTCCTGTCCTGCCTTGAGGTCGGATTGGGGCCACATCAGAGGTGGAGTCCACCTCTCTCTCCATGCTGCTGTTCAACTCGCTCTCGGAGCCTGACTTGTAGGACTGGCCTTCCATCAGGGAGACAGAAGACGATGATATAGATGATGACAACGACGATGACTTCTCGTTTTTCAGGTCCCGCCTGGACTCGTACTTCGGCCCCATCAAGTTCATGGTTTGTGCAGTTGCCATAGCAAGTTCGCTGACTGTCGGAGACTGGAGGTTGTCACCGAGGGATGGGGCTTGATGAGAGGAGGATGCTATGAAGCTCTGGATGACTGGCTCCACATGGCCGGCAGTGATCGGTGCTGATTTGTCTATTGCATATTCCTCATTCTGTTGAAAAAGCAAATAAAACAGAAATTGACTCAACAAACTACTCAAATACCTCTGTACACTGTAGCTTTGGCAATGGGCTTTTGGAAGCTCCCAATGACAGTATTTCTCACCGAATTCTCGGTGGCTTAAGACATTCTTTCATTTCTTTATGGTTGCAAGTTTGCTTTGAACACTTTGTTCATAAATGCTATCAACAAATCTGAGTACGGAAAGCCTGTATATTCACAGGGTTACCTAGTGAAGGTTGAAGTACAGTGCCACTGAGATTTTTATAAACAGTTAAAATGTTACACTGAAATTAAAAAAGACAATGTAAAGACAAAAGCAATTAAATAACCACGGAGGCCATCAATCTAATACAATGACTCTTCAAAATTTAACAATACAAGTGCTTCGGGCTTCTGGGAAATGACAGAAATTGAGGGAAGCAGACAATTTGGAGCGAGTTGTGTCCTGGCTGAACTTGCAAGAGGATGGCTTATGAAGAATACAAAGGAGTCGAACATTCAGAGGAAAGCGTCAGAAATGCCCTGGGGGGGAAGAGGGAACACAGCAGCAAGCCAGTGACGTCAGCTTGCCAGTTTGCTTGGTTGAAGCAGCGGGCGATGACTGGACATCATAAAGGGAGATTGGGAATACTGACAGGTGGCATCCATTTCCAAAAATATGGGCTCTGGTCTCCTGCGATCTGTTTCAAACAGGAATGGTGCCAACAACACCGGGGAGACATGAAACAGGCAAAGCTATGGGGGTCTGGAATTGCGAACTGAGAAATTTGAGACGTGTTTCAGGAAAAATAATTGAACACAGGTTTGATACTCTTTTAAGCCAGGGGCTAAAGCTAGCATTTTAAGTCTACCAATGCCAAAAGCCAACTCAGTGAAAGTGGAAAACAAATTTTGCCTATAAAAACTATATAGCGATTGTTTAATTTTGAAAATATATTCCCGCTCCAAGAGTACCACTGATATTTCCATTTCAGTGGTTTGACAAAAAGTAGATATCTAACAGTATTTCTACTCTATAACACTGAAGCTTGTTCAACATACACACACCCACAGGGTGGGTTTAAGCAATCGTATGCATTTCTCATTCGTATCTCTTGTACATTTTAATAAGCAGTGGCAGCACAAAGAAAAGGTTGCATTCATAAAAAGTAAAAATGGGACTACACAACGGGACCTTCCAGTCCCAGTAATTGAGACAGGACTAGAATACCACGATGAATCCATGTTTGAACAGAAGAGCTCACTTGTTGTGCTACTAACACAAAAGCTGTGAAGTTTGCAAAGCAACAATGCAGCCTCCAGAAATAAACACTTGTAATAAGCTAACCCACCCCTTTTCTTGTTTTGCAAAGCAAGACTGATACCTCTTAAAGCACTGATCTTCCACAGGACTACAGCTAAGTCCATTTCAAGACAAAAATAGCCAGTTAATGTCTCATTAAATTGCAAGTTTTTTCACATGCAACGGGGTAGAAAAAGCTTGTGACTTGAGACAGGCGTGCAGTGGACTTTGACAAAACACTGCGCTGTGAGACACTGCTTACTTGCATGCATGCAAACATACCCTTGATGCCCATCGTACACGTTTGATGCGCTGTTAATGTAGTGTAGTGTTAATGCAGGCAAGAGAAAAAGGGGGTGCAAAAGGAACAGAACGTGAAATGATGCAACAGTTTGTTAGAAAAAAACGCCTAGTGCCAAATCTATCTCTGTCCAATTTACCAGCAAAGAGAGAAAACAACATGCTGACAAAGCATCTTGTCTAATAACTCATGTTCAGTGAAACTCTACCCCTTGCAGACAATATGCAAAGCTATACCAGTACGTGTACGCATCAGGCTACAAGATCACCGCTCCATAAAAATATAATTTGGTAACGAAAACACATGGGGGATTTTCTAGCTCTCTGTTTTGTTCCTGTCTTTGACTCTATCTTGTATTCCAAATTGGTTTTACATATTAACCAGATACAGACAGTGTAAGATCTTGGCTTGATGTGGGACAAGTGGATCCTTCTTTATGGCAGACAACGGAGTGGCACAGAATGTGTAGGGCTCAACTTGGAGGGCTCAGTTTATAACTCTCAAGCTACAAGCCTCAATGGAGACCAAGTCCAGATATGGTGTCACCCATGGACTAGCCATATCAGAGGCTTTCACTTGCCCAATGGCCACGTCTGCAAAGCCCCCTCTTTCATCTATGCACCAAGTCCATTATGACATGAGAAAAACCACCACACAAAAGACCACCATAGTCCTTATGCCTGCTGCAGTTTGTCCCCGAGTGACCTGGGCAGGCTGTCACTTGAACATTTACAGTACATCAAAAAAATGTTCATAAACAGAGGTCCCACTTGGAGTGCAAGGAAATTGAACTCTGTCATCACATTAGTCCGCACGAGCACCTTTGTAATCCCCCATGTACCGTCTTAACTTGTTCAAAAATCATAAACCTTCAGGGGGAAGGGGTACACCACTAGTATGAGAAAAATTCTGGGGAGTAGCTAGTCTGCTGGGACTTTGCAGGTCTGAGGCGGGAAGGAAGAACATGTGATGGTTATCAAGCAGGGAGCAGACTGGGCCGCTGTCTGGCGAATTCCCTCCCTCGCAAAAAACACCCTCTGTACCCCTAGGGCAGGGCAAAGTACGAGACGGTCGGGAACCCAGATTGTTGCGGTCTTGCAGCACAGGTGATCCTCTGCCTGGAATCACCCAAGGTCGCGTGGTGTGTGTCTCTTATCAGGGCAGCCAGCTGAAACTGACTTGTACATGGCCTTGATAATATTCCCCAGATGCCGTTAAACCGTGTTTGTGTCACAGTGACTTGCTTTGGTATGACCAGGCCTAAGGTGAGTGCCTAGTTACTCACAATTTTTTTGAATGCTTCCAACACAAGATATCCCCTACCGAGTTCTTGCTAAACAAACCCTAGTCATAATGTTTGGCAGATCAATATCTGATCATGTATCAATGGGGAGTTACTTGTTTATTGTGACTCAAGTCTATGTCACCAAAACCAGAGACTCAGGAAGGATTTAATTAGAGTCCTAAACATGAGGCCTAACACACTGCCTCAGAAACACTGAAATGATGAAAGGGGTGCACAATTGGTTAATCTATTCAAAATAATGATGGTTAATCCGTACAGAGATGGCCAAATTTCATGGCCAAATGCACACTACAACTACAAAGACTGAGAAAGCGTAAACAGACTGGGATGTGATGAAAATGGATTTACTTGAAACCGTACCTTGGGTCTGGCTGGAGGCTGTGGGGGCTCCATTTCTGCATTTGGGGATTCGACCTCTGCAGAAGGAGAAAATGGGTATTCCCTCACTAATATATGAAGTACTTCAAGCATTCTGTAAGGTCACTAGGTGGGAGTCAATTTAAAAGGAAAAAATAAAAAAAGGATTTGATGGGGGGCATAGGGGACAACTTTTATTGGTTGTTGAAGACACACTTTATGGGCAGAGACAGGCCGGTAGTAGACCAACGACCTATCTACTAAACATTGGTAGTTTTCCTTGGTAAAATCAGCCAGTGAGCTATTATTGGCTATTAACCACTTCGTGCCGGGGCATTTTTCAACGTTGATGATGCTGGGCCGGCATGACTATCATTTTTTCCATTTTCAAAATCCTTCAAAAATTTATCATTCCATTTAACGGTCATTTATAGCCGCACAGAGTAATCTGTAGGCACTACTCTAA